GACCACCAAATGAAGGACTGTACAAGTGTACAACATCTTAAACCTTGCTAATCTAGCTTAACTCAATTAGATTATTCAATATATTCATTTCAAAACTATACCTAAGTATAAATTAATAAAATAATATAAAACAGGTAAATCATAGATATTATAAAGATTTGAGACCTAACATAAACTTCATAAAACAAATAAATACGTACGAGCTATTAAGCTGAAGATTAAGAGTTTTGAAACACTTCACAAAATTCCACTAAACATTATGTAATTTAATAATTTCTTTTAATTTTCCGAAAACAACTTGTTGTAATCGAACTGTTAAACATAAATAAATTTAATTTTTAAAAACATTAAAGTAATGATCACTTGAGTTGGTTTAAAAACTAAAATAATAGAAAGCGATAGTTTTAATTTAATAAGACGTTAGTTGAATAATGTGAAATATTAAAGTTTTAATTAGAATTAGTAGACGACCGAAAGACAAGCACGGAGATCTGGAATCAACTGACTGACGGTAAACTACAAGTTACAACTCGTTTGATAAAAAATGACTACAAAGTGATAGCGTCGCACGTTTCTAGAAATCATATGGCCACACAGTGAAACCAGTGTGCAAACTGTTACAATAATTATGCTATACCGTACGGTGTAAGAAAGTAATGGCACATTCAGTTCAACTAAAGAAAAACATGTTACGAATTACGAGAACAGAATCGGAGTCCGAGGACATCATTACATTAACAGTTAATAGTTTAAGATTAATATTAAAGACCTTTAAGTATTTAAATAGGTACTTATTTGAAATATATTTAATAGTATACCATCTCGGTTACCTATACATTTATAAATAGAAACTATCAATATCAAACATAATAAAATTGTCAAATTAACATTAATTAAAATAACAAACTTAAACTATTACTAAAAATAAGTACTATCGTTGGAATGATCGATCTATTAATTTCTTTATGTCCATCTGTGATGCATTAGCAAATCAGCTTTAAATTTTATTTTTTATACATTTCAAATTAAAAGACGTACATTATTTCTCCATATTCATAACTACTTTTACAATAGTATAATGTAAACTATTTTGTAGGTTTTGTTTTGTTTATATTGAAAAAAGATTTTGAATTAAATTGAAAAAAATAAAATAGTCTATCCAACAAATAAATAACATTACATAAAAAAAAAAAAATTAAATAATTATCAACTACTATACTATGATATTAGAATGCTTAATAATTTATATTTTATTTTGTGTATTATATACACTTAAAATTAAAGTACAATAAATTCACTTTATTTTTAGCAAAAACTTGAATAAGTATTTACTTTCAAACTTTCACATACAAACCCCAATACCCAACGACTGTATAACAATTTATTAAGTACTTCAAACGCCAGTACTAATGAACTGTATATTTGCATTACATTTTTTCCTCCCAAAATTACTTTGGATTCAAACTCGGGCGTACTGATTGCATTACTATATACCTAAATTACATTGAAATATTCTGAGATTGTGGTTAAATCTTGAGTGTTATACTTTTCATTTTTCCTAAAAGAAAATATTATCAAATCAAAAAAATATAAGTTGCTTACTATTCTATATTATTCCCGATTCCCAAACGTTGCAACTAATATCATAAAAAATTCTTTAATATTTAGAGGAAATACTGAGATACTCTTGTATACATGAATATTGAATACATTGAACAAACTATAAAAGTAGGGTCAATATTCTTTCTTTAATAAGTCATAATTTTAACTAGATAATAGATATACTAAATTTCAATTATATTGTAGTGTTAAAAGTGTTAAAACTAAGACTTTATTTTTATAAAGTAATGTAATTATATGCCTGTATAGCATGAATACCATTATAAAAAATATTCTAGGTACAAGCTACTGAGAATATTTTTTAACAAGTAATTGTTAAGAAATTTATTTTATTTTTATGATACAATAATTATAAAAATAATACTACTGTTACCTAAACTTGCAGCTATACTAAAATTAAAATATCCTGGTTATATTATCAGATTATATTTGTGTATTCAACAGAAATCTTTTACTTTTTAGAACTATTTATTATCAAAAATAACTATTTTTGTAAAATTTCGTTGTTCAATAACACATCATAATATATTATAATATAAATTTTCAAATGTGTGTGTTGAAATTAGAAGCAAAAATGTTTATATGATGTATAAATTTTATATAATTTATTTCATTTTTTTTTTATATTTTTCGCCAATTTTCTTTTTTTTTACTTTTTTTTTCTATGCAAAGATTTGAATAAATTAATTTAATTAGTACCTATTATAAAAGTTTTGGATGACTTTATATTACATCAATCGATAATCAGGTTTTTAATTCTTATACTTTCAAGAAGTAATTTTTTGGTTTCTTTAGTTGTTTTTCTAATTATCATAAAAAATTTCCGACTGCTGCGTCAAACGATCTTGAAGAAATGGCAAGTTCAAACTTCACACCAAGCTTTACTAAGAATCATTTTTCGATAATGATAAACGATAACTTATCATTCCTTTTAAATTTAACTTTATACAGCTCAATACTATTCTGTGCACAAGAAACCGTGAGTCAACAAAAGTATGTCAAATGACTGATTCAGTATCTTAGCTTAATATTCGATACATGGCTAATTTTTAATTCTGATATATATTTTAAAAATAACTTAAATATTAATAATTCTATAATAATATTTTAAAATATCCATTCAACTTAAAAATAATATTCAGTTTACCTAACTATTTATTTAAACTTATAACTATTATCTGTGGTCATTACTTATTCATGATTTTCATTTGTAAATTAATATAATTTACGATGGAAATAAAGAATCTTGGAAAGATTAATAAAATTTTACCATTAAGTTTAATTGACATGAACGAAATTTTTATAGATCCATTTATATTATACTGCAATGAAAACGACGTTTTAAGGATTCCCAACTGTCTTGGATTATTCTATTGATGCAGAAGTTTGCGAAATGTGTAGTATACTATTACTATAGTCTTAAACAAATAAAGTACAGTACACCATATAATCTTACCTAATAATTACTTTATCTAATGGATAATAAAAAGATACATTTAATTGTACAACAGAAGCTAAACAATAAACATTAAAGAATTTAAAATTGAAATTTTTCTTTTTTTTTTTTAACCATTTTAAAGATATTTTTGAATAGTTAATAACTAATAAGTAATAAATTATACAATATATTCATAGTATGAAAATAAAAATAGTTGGTAGCAATGGTAGCTATTCATATTTTTATAACTATCGCCTATCAATATATAATTAAATCAATCAAATGAAAATAATAAACACAATTTATTCCAAAAAAACAATTAATAAAATAATTTTAAGTTAATTGAAAAATGGTTATATATATATATATATGAATGTATTTTATTATATTATAAATAAGCTTATTACTTATTAGTTATTAATAGTATAAAAATAATAATAAATAAATACAAAATTATAAAGTATATTTATTATAATTTATGTACCTAGTATATGTACATATTTATATTTATTCATAGTACTTTTATTTTCAATTGTAAATTTAAATTAATAACTATATGAACTATTATAAATTATAATGCTACAAATGAAACTCTCTATCATTGTTACTTGCTTAGAGTGGATAAAAACTATTTGAACAAATAATTAATAACAGAATGGGAAGCACTAAGATCTTGAATAAAAAACCCTTGAACTACTAAAAACTGAAAAATTTACTTAAAATCAGCATTTTAAAATTTTACACTAAGACTGAAATTTTTACAGTTGTTTTTTTTTTTTTTTTTTACATAATAGGTATGAGTACTACTTAATTTTAATATATTAAAGAGCATGCACCTATTAGGTGTTACCTTTTTAACTTAATCCGGAGTAAAAAATATAAAAATGAAAACTAATTATTAATAATCATGGACAATGCGATACAAAAACAAATAGGTCAATATGAACATAATATTGTTATTATACTTAAAATAGATGTTTATTGTGTCCATTTTACGTGTAAACTAGAGTAGTTGTACCCGTATAATAGGTTATATAAACAACTAACAAGTCGGTGTTAACTAACTAATATTTCTTTTTGGCCTTAGTAGTCAGTGTAGTTGTTACAAGTAATTGTTAGGTACCTACCGGCTACCTACCAGGTACTACTATGTAGTGTGTACTAATAAATACCTAGTTGATAGACAAAAACGTACCGCATTATTTAAACACACGCGTCATGAATTATGATTGTAGTTTACATAATAACATGTACTTATTACTTACCACAGTACTCGCGCATTTTATTCTGCGTTATTTATATATATATAGATAAATAGGGTTATTTCTTATACGAAATATTCGGTAACTATGTTTTGCTCTTTTAATAAATTATGTTCTCAGTAGAACTAGCTGACAATAATATATATGACCCATGTGTTGTGATGCTGGTTAGTAGTAGCCGGTTCAATATTTTGAGATTTAAAATTTTTGCTAGAGTAATTACATATTTTTTATCAATTTCTGATGTCATGTACGAAATACGATATTATACTTATATCTTAAGACTAAAAATACTATAAGAGTAAGAATGCATAGCAGAGGCTAAAATATATTTTTTTTCGTATTACACACTGTATATTAAACTTGGAGTTACTGTGGGGGGCTATGCCCCCCACACCCCCCAAAAGAGTTTTTTTAATCTATACACATAAGCATAAGGTAGTAAATTTTTATTTTTATTTTTTTTTTTTTACCTACAAAATACAAACTACATTACAATAAAATATTATCAAACTTGAAAACACTATCTACAATCCATTCATTATATATAAATTATGGATAATGTTCAATTTAAAAACTGTGAATAATATAGTATGTAAGTACCTAATCTAACTATTAGTCTTCTTTTTATTACTGTTTGTATATATTTAATTAAGTTATACAATATCAATAAATTATAATTAGAAATTTAAAAAATGGATGAGGTTTGAGTTAATTGTTGTTTCATCTACCATTGAAAGAGTTGATTTTTCTGATGCTTCTGGGAAAACTCCCCCAAACCACTTTTGTTTGGTTGCATAAGTATGAGCCTGAACATTGTAACAAACAAATAATTATATTTTGGTTTTCAATTAGTAATGACTAATGACTTATATTTTATTTTATCAGTGGCATTATAATATACCTTATTATGTCTTTTTTTTGACTTAAGCCATTCTAGTACTGCATTATGAGGATTGAATTCACTCAATGTTGGCATGTTCAGCTTAATATAAAGACTATCTTTTATTGTTTCTGGAGATAATTGTGAACGGTCTGCAGTTTTAATAACATTGTAGTAACTGATTAAGCGCTCAACATCCGCACTGTGAGGTTTCATTGCAAGAACACGTGCCTAAAAAATTACAACTAAAATTATTAGATTAAAAATAAAAATTAAGTAGGAATATATTTAACCTAAGTCTTAGGTATATTGACTTATATTATTTTGTTATATTTAAAATAAGTACATACTATTGAAACAGTTAATGATTCCCAGCTTGCACAATTTATCAATATTTTGAGAACACTAGTTGAAATAAGCTTGTCTTTAATCTGAGAATGTCCAGACGCTTCTTTATATGAAGTCACAAAATCAACTAAACTAAAATCTGGACAAATTAATGAATGACATTCTTTTAGTTCCATATCTGATACTGACATTTTTATAATCTTCAGTGGCTTTAATTTAGACCAGTTGGTTGTGTCTAATCTTTTGAGCATGTAATTATAAATATGTTCAAGAATATCGTTACGAATAGCAGCAAAAGATCTATTATCTGTTACATATTGATGGTTAATTTTTCTTCTAGAATTTGAAACATAGTCAAACAGCTGGAACCCTTTAAGCATAAATGTTGTTGTATCTTTCTCACTGTTGGAAATATATGACACATCTGTAGTGTTAATAATAGTATCTTCCCAACCTCCAACAAGTGGTGATTCTTTCATTGTACTAATAATATGTATAACACTGTCTCTTTTGTCTTCCACATCAAAAATTAAAGTCTCATCTGATTGAATTTGTTTTTGAAATCGTCCATAGACATAACCCAGATCTGTTAGAAAACATAAGAGTTTTAATTTATTAAAATCTGTCAAAAATTTTAAAAATCCAACTGCTACTGATTTTTCTTTGACAATTCCTTCTTCTTTTTTCTTATTAAAATAACATACTAAAATGTACCAGTTTTTTATAATTCCATAAAATAATTTATAGGTAAATTCAGTCCAACGGACTTCAAAATATTTGGGTAAATGTAACAAAGACATGTTGTTCTCATCTGCAATTTTTTTTAATTCTTTAGTACGAAGACCAGACTGATGAAAGTATGTTGCTATTGATGTACATGATTCAATAATTTTTTTTACTTCCACGACATTTGCTGTAAGTTCTTCCCAAGCTAACGCACTGCGGTGTACTGCGCACCAAACTTTTATTAAAGGCATATTAATCAAAAGCCTATCATTTGTTATCAATGCCCATAAACCATTTTTTTTCTCCTACATTAATTGAAGCACCATCTGTGACAAGAGAAGATATAAGTGGAAGTATTTTATCCCAAGCTAAATAATGTTCAATTGACTTTTTTATTGCATTATAGTAACCTAAAGCACCTCTGGTTTCTGGTTCTTCAAATCCCAAAAAAAGTAAATCATTGTTTCCTTCTTTAGTAATTATTTTCAACATTACATGAATATTATCTATTTGAAAGCGATCAACAGAACCATCAACTCGTAAAGAAACTGAAATACAAGACAAAAGTTTATTTTTCAGCTCAGGAATATCAGCAAGCACTATATGTTGAAGCATTTCTCTATGTCCAGGTGGATTAATATATTGAAGTTCTCCTTCCAAAGGTTTTAATGGACTAAATTTTTGCTGAATATCTAGTTTTTGTCGTTTTAAATAAGCAACTTCACAAGAAGGCCATGACCATGCACTAATAGTTCCCCGTTTAGCATCATTAAAAACAGTGCACATTAACTCACTGATTCTTTGAGATACCTTTAGGTTTTGAACAGAGATTAATTTATCTAAAGGAGCTTCTTTAGTTTTGTCTTCTTTTAATATAGTAGACAAACGATGCACTTTTAAACATTCAATATGTTCTTTTGACATTAAATGGTTAGAAAATATATTTTTTCTAGGAATAGTACCACCAGAAGAACAAATAGCTGGTACATGATTTTTTTGCTTTGTGTGTATCAATACTGTACCTGGATACTGAACACAAATAGAGCATCTCATTAATTTCCTACCTTTAGTCTGAGGAACTTTTTCAAAACAAGCATTATTTATAATATTGCTCTCAACACTAGGATCTTCAGACAAATCATCATTAGTATCATTAACAGAACTTAATTTTTTTGCCACATCAAAAGCTTCATTTCCACCACAATTGTTTTTATCATTACTAATAATTTCAAAATAAACATCATCTAAAAATATATAATGCACCTAATCAAATTAAAGTTAGAATCCTAATACTGAACTAATAATAAATTATCTTAAAAAAATATAAACTGATAAAAATATTAACAGTTTAAATTAATATTATTATGATTATAATTATAATCATTGAAAACAATTTGCAATAAATGTCTTTCATAATTTATTTATTTCTTACCTTTAGTCTGAGTAACTTTTTCAAAACAAGTAGTAATATTATTTGTAGTATTACTCTCAATGTTATGCTCTACAGGCATATCATAATTAGTATGGTTGTTATGATTGGTAACAGTAGATGTAGCTGGATCAATTGTTTTTTCTTTTTTTATTAGCCACTTATGCATTATTAATACTTAATATTTTAATATTGTAAATTTACAATACTTAATTGTTCAGGACCAATAATAAATAAAGTATACCACGTAAATTGATTAATTAAAATAAAATCTTGAGATATACTAGTCAATATTCAAAAGCACTGATATAAATAGTTTGATTATGATCATATACTATTCATAATATTCATTACTATACTGTAAACTTAATCAATGTTTTTATAATATAATAATAAATCTAAAAATAGCAATATTCATGGATAATATAAGAAAATAAACAAATAATCAAAATATTGATAACATAGATATTAGATGGTATCATTGCTTGTGATATTATCATGAATAAAGATATCTATAGACAGTTTTAAATAATGAATAGTTTACAATATGTTATTGTACATTAAATTCTTATCTATCTATTTACCAACAATAATTCTTCAATTATTGAAGAATAAACTGTAAAAAAAGTTACTAATTATTACAGGTCATTGCTCATTACACACTTTTTAATTTCGTATTACACACTTAGCATTTCGTACTACACAAAGTGTGTCGTACTACACACAATTTTAGTCCCTGATGCATAGCTATAATAAAAGTAACCTATAATATTTTATGCATCACACACATCTAGTATACGTTATAGTTTTGTACACCATGGGCGTCCCTAGGGGGGGAGGCAAGACTGGACGCTTGCCCCCCCCCTAGAATTTTAAATTTGTTTCCTAATTGTAATAATTTAATGTTATACTGTCGAAACATTATAATGTTCTATAAACAAAATGTATAATAGTAATATCTAATTGTAATAATGACAAAACATGATAATGTATTATAAATAAAATGTATAAAAAAATCTTTATTTATTTTTCAAATTAATTTTGCTCCCCCTCTAGAAAAATGTCTGGGGACACCCATATTGTACAATCATATCATATTAAACTATATTATAATATATGAACTTGATTAATGTATTATTAAATAACTGACGTCGATATACGAATATGAACGACCTCTTCTCCCACTTATACCCACCTCCTTTATTAGCAAATAATTATTGTTAAAATATAGTTTTAAAATACGTCTTAACACATTTCTCTTAATAATTAATATATTTTTTACTTATTAATATAATTATTATAGTTAATTAACTCTCTAAAATTAATTATATCAGTACGTATTTACGTGTATATTGTAAATGTATTATATATTGAACAACTAAAATTCAATAGCTTCTTAAGGTTGCTTTTTAAATTTTATAAACCTATTTGTATTGATTTTAGCAATGACGTAATTTTTTTAGAATATTCAAGTATAATATCAATATAAAACTGTTTGGAACTGAATAGTTATAAGCAAGATTTTTTTTTTACTTAATTATTACTCAATAAATAAAAATGTCTCTGAACCAGATACAATTATTGTAAATCCTGAACTAGGTTATTATTAAATATTCGTTTTTTCTATACTACATGATTACGTTTTGATATAAAAATGCTGTATGAAGTATTATAAGGAATATTTAGGATTTTTCTAAAAGAGTGTTATTTTATTCAATATTATTATAAGTATGAAATTAGTTTTTGTTATCATTAAAGATTATGATTTATTATAATGTAAAAATAATAAAAATCAACTACGGGTTTAAAGAGAGATATTCTGTAGAATGCTTTTAAAAATTTTAGTTGTATCAAAGGTTTTCATAGTATTTAATATCAAATTTATAAATTATAATTATATTAATATATTTATTGTTTTTATATAGATATCATTATTCATTAATCATAACCTATATTCAGTACCTAGACATCTAGTCTGTAGTCATGTTGTGTAAAAAATAAATACGTTATTATTGTCGTTTTCCAGAAAACTTAACTCCCAAGTTATCAGTCACTCTAAACACGTATAGTTAACAGTCTAGAAATATCAGAGTTAATTTATTAAAATACGCCGAATTTGATAACTGTGTACCGTACTTAAATCGTTGCTTAGGTGCAACTTTACCCAAACTCCTTTGTGTGTTCGTGCTCAGAATATTATCATCTGAGATGTGACCGCTTTGGTGTCACATTTGTCTATAGAATAGAAGCAATTTAGAATAGGTTGCTTATAGCTGTCTTGATAAATAACAATAAGCTTGTCACTGCAGTACGTCAAATAACATCTAGAGAAAAGTAGGATCGTTTTCTAAAATGTATAGGTCTCAATTTTCACACAAACATCATTATGTTTCTATTTTACTAAAATATAAACAAACTATATCAATAATAACAAGGTTATGAAATAGAACTAATATAGTACCTATGTACAATTAATACGTAGTAATATCTATTAGGTACCTATACCTATTTCTTATTATCTTTTATTGAATTTTAATTTTCAATATTATTATATGGTAGTAACAGTGTTACACATAGTCGATAGTCCTAACTCCTTATTATTATTACTTCATAATATTCTACTAATTATTAGTAGGTACTAATTATCACCAGAGTAATATGAATTATAACTATTTAACTAACTCCATACCGAATAGAGTATTGAATACAATAAGAAGCTCCCCTTTCAAACCAAATATAATCAATAGTCTTAAAACTAATAAATTTTTTACCTATTTACTATGAATTCATTATTTTATTTAATTTTATTATAGGATAAGATAATTACACAATTCAATTTAAGAATTGAGATGTTCACAAATATATTTTATATGATCAGTTGTATTATTACCGGAATCGATATGAATGGTAATATATAATACATTCATGTCTCTTATAAAACTAAATTAAAAGTAGTTGAATTAATTTGTTCTTAATTTTTATCAAAGATAAAATATTAAAAAATCGAATTTGATTGTAATTTTAATTACATTATGAATAATATGTAAGCTCACTGTTTAGTATTTATTTTTTTATCTTTCAAGTTTCATATACTTTCTAAATTATTTAACAAAATAATGTTACTGTAATTTATAATTTCTTATATATATATATATATATATATATATTTAACTAAGGGCTTTTATTAATATATACCTAATTGTGAAAAATTAAATTATTTCTTAAAATTTGTGTAAGTTAGCATTATCTTTAAATGATAATACATCATACAAGAAATTTTTAAATTATATTTTTGTTTACAATTGAATTTTTAGAATTTTGAAGGTTATACTATTATTAGATATACTACTTCCTTTTCGTAGAAAATTTAAACTAAGTATAAGTTTCATTTGAATAAAGACATTTGTTAAAGGCAGTGGGCTCGTTGTCAATGCATACTTTAAACATTTAAACAATAAATCTTAGGTATAGGTTGATGGTTGGTATGAATATTAAAAATTATGTAAAATTCTAACTTCTAATTACAAAATAATTTGCGAATTTTCACGATTTTCACAAATTTCGTAAATATTTTAATCGAAAACACTAATTAAAAAATATTGCGACTATAATTTTCTATATTTTTAAATTCAAATTTTCAGAAGTTTAGATCCTATTTTTTTTTTTTTATCAAAAAACACCTTCAAAGTTTAAAATGAAAGCAGTTTTTCTATTATAAATGGTGAACGCATACTTAAAAAATAAAAACACCCGTCTTTGTTAAATCAATACATTTATTGCTCCACTCAGAATTTATAGCGTGTATATAACGCGTACTGTGACCGTA